AACCGGGCGCAGACGCCCCTTGTGAAACAACTGCGAAACCTGGGTCTCAGAGGGGCGGCGTGCACTCTGCCCGCTGCGAGCGGGGGAGGCTGAGATGAGGGGGGGCACAAATCCTGTGCGCAGGCATGTGCGCGGACGATGGGGGGGGGGCCAGGGGGGCGTAAAGACATGAGCAGAAGGGGCCATGACATCCGGGCGGGTGTCATGGCCGCGGCCACGACATCCGCCCCCCTTTTGGCCGCCACCGCTGCGATCCGTGACCAAACAAACAGTGCCTTGGTTTGTTTCAACAAACGCGACCCCCAGAAAACCCGACCCTTTTCCGAAGAGCAAATTTCCAGTCCCGGGCCCACAGTTCCAAGGCCCGGCGAGGGCCTCCAGAGGCCGAAAACGGCTTAGGAATACCTCCCGTCCTGTATTCCTGAACGCTCGACGAAAACAGGACGAGGATAGCATCGGGTGAGGGTGAATTCGGGGATCTCATGGCCCGGGTCAATCCAGACCAGGGTCAATCGGGCCTTGCAGGATCCTGCAGGATCCTGCGCGCAAGCCCGGGTCAATGCGATCCTGGCCCTGCAAGATCCTGCGAGATCCTGCAGGATCCTGCACCCAAGCCCGGATCAATGAGACCCTGGAGCTGCGGGATCCTGCAAGACCCGGCGCTGTGGCTGACCCCCGTTGACATTGACCCCCGTCTCAAGGCTCCCGATCAATCGAGAAACTCTAGGATCAGGAAGCTCTGGAGCATGTCTCGGGCGCCGCGGCCTGGACTCCTCCTCCTCCTCCTCCTCCTCCTCCTCCTCCTCCTCCTCGTCCTCATCCTCCCCGTCCTCGTCCTCCTCCTCCTCGTCCTCGTCCTCCTCCTCCTCCTCCTCCTCCTCCTCCTACATACGGTGGTGCCGGTGGGAGATCGGCCCACCAAACCCCGCCCGATAACGATGCGAGGCATGCCTCGGTGGGCCGCCCCCTCTGCTCCCCGCCTCTCCAGGCGCCTCGCGACGGAGAAAGGAGGAGGAGGTGGAGGAGGAGGAGAAAGAGAGAGAGAGAGAGAGAGAGAGAAAGAGAGAGAGAGAGAGAGACACAGCAGAAGGGGACGCCACAGTGCCTGCGCGCCCACTCGCCGAGGCCGCCGAGCACGGCAAGGCTGGTCCTTCAGACGACCAGGGACCTGTCCAGCCACGGATCCCTCAAAACTTTGGACCCTGCTGGAACTGGGAGCCACCGCTCTACCAGCACTCCTGGGCGGGTCAGAGCAAAGGCCTGACCCACGAACACGCCGTAGAGCACGCCGTAGAGCACCATGAAGAAGCCCGCGGCGACGACGATGCCCTCCGGCAGCGCGCTCAGGGCGAACCCCGAGCCAGCACGTGCCCGAACGTGCTCCGGCGGAGCGCCTCTGGAGCACGCTGGGCCCCGCTGCCAACGCCACCTGGCATCGCAACAAAAACTATGCAGCCGACGTGGAGGCCGAAGCCGTTCTGGCCTGGTGGCCCCGCATGCTGTCCAGCAGCAGGGAGCCCGCGGTCATCACGTTGGTGGCTCCACGCCAGGGCCTCCCAGTCTCCAGGTCGACCCGCGTGTTGGGATGCAGCCCGCGCCGCAATTGCTTCACTGCGTCCTTCTCCGTCCACCGCGTCTTGGGCACCTTGGATGGCCCTCGGCACGGATCCCTGAACTTGGGTGAGAGCCGATTCGACTCGCTGGACCAAGCGCCGCAAACCGCGCACCAGATCGCGAACCCCGCCGTTTCCGTGACGTGGCGGGCGCCCACCGTCGGCGGCTCGCACGGCGAACAGCATAAAATTTGGAGCGAGGCCGTGGTGGTCGCGAAGCGGTAGCACACCGCGCACTTGAGCACTCCGTTGGTGAGCTGCTTGAGGTCGTGGGCCACGATACTCAACCCTGGTACCTTCATTCCCACCTGGGCCACCTTGCTGCCTGGGCACCTGGCACCTACTCCCACCTGGGCACCTGGCTACCTGCTCCGGGACCGCAGCTGACCCGCCAACTGAAAGCCGCACTGCGCGCTCAGCCGCCCAGGCCACGTAGCGCATGGCCTCCGGAACGTCCCGCAGCTGAATCTCGCGCGCCCGCACGTGCACCTCCGACACCGCGATGCTGGCCGAGCCCATATTGGCGAAGATGTCGGCCCAGATATTGCCGACGTAGCGGAAAGCCGCGCCGTCGGCCAGCGCGGCGTCCTCCAGCTCGCGGTGGGCACGCGCCCACTCTGCAGTCGGCATGGGCACGCCGCGCCCCTCCACCGTCGCCCCGATTTGCCGCCAAACCATCGCGTGCGGAGCTCGCGGCCTGGTGCGCCTACCCTGCCACTCGCGGACCTCCTGCACGAACGACATGTGGTCTGACAGCACGTGCACTGGCGGCCGCCCAAAAAGAATGGCTCGCATGCCGGCGTGCCGCTCCGATCTCGGCACCGTCTGCGCGAGCCCCGGGAGGCTGCCCCCGCGCGCCTTAATCGGCAGCGGCTCGTCCGAGATCTGCACGACTGACCATCCGCACCTGCGCGCCTCCACGAACGACGAGCGGCGGCCAGACCCATCGACAAAGAGCTGCTGCCCCCAAGCTTGCCGCTCCAGCCCCCGCTCGAACACCGGGAGCTCCTCGGGGACCTGGTCGGGCAGCGGAGGGGCTAGCGGCAGGGTGAACTCAAGGTGCTCGTAGCTGGGGCCATCGCCCGTGTCCACTGCCTGCCACCGCAGCCTCTCTCGGGTAACCAGCCGCTCCTCGGGGCAAGGCCCCTCCACCTCATCGTCCTGCTGCCGCTGCACCGCCTCGCACTCGAAGTACAAGTGGCCGTTGAAACCCTCGGGCGCGCCGCGCAGTACGCAGCCCGGTTTCTCGCGCCTCCCCGCGAGGAAAGAGCGTCGAGGAGGCCAGAGCGCGTTGGCCTGGAGTGCCCGCAGGGCCCCGCTCCGCCTTGGGCAGCGACCCACGTCCTGGTGGCCCAGGGCCAGCGCCCTTCCCCAGACCTGGAAGCCTTGGTAGTGCGCGGGGTAGTGCGCCAGCATGCGACGACCCTGCCATCTCATGATGCCCTGCTCCAGGAGCGTCAGGACATCCGAAGGTGCCTGGCGCAGCAGGTGCACGACCTGGCCGCGGTCGCTCCGGAAGCGCATCGGGTCACACAGCTGCCAGTCTATCCGGCGCAAACTAAGCCATGCTGCCGCCAGGGGCCCGCGGCAATGGGCCCACGTGACCTTCTTGGCATCCTCGAACTTGCACTGCATGGCGAGGAAGGCCTTACGGAGCCTCGCGGGAGAGCCCTTCGCTTGCCAGACCCAATCTGCGAAATCGCCGACCACCGCCATCGTGACCTCGAAGATGGGGTCGAAGGTCATGGCTGGGATCGTCATCAGGTAGGTCGTCAAGGACCCGTGGCCCTTGCAGCCCGCGAAGCGGCCCGCCGTCGCACGGGGCTGCCGGATCGACTGGTCTTCGCACCCGGCCACGCTCGTCCCATGTGCGGCCGCTGGCAGGACCCCAGTCTTCCAGAGGATGCCCGCCTTCCTGGGCCCCACGGCCATGCGGCGCTGGCCAATCTTGCTCCACTTGCCGCCCATGTTCACCATGCGACGCCTATGGGCCAACTTTTTGACCGCCCTGCCGTGGAGCTCGTGGCCAAGGTTCTGCATGTGGGCTTTCCCGCGGAAGCGGATGACCTGCGCGTGCTCCGCGAACTTCCGCTTCGCCCCCCTCGTCGCGGCGACGACCCCGCACTTCGCGGGCTGGACCAGGCAGCCGAGCGACTGCAGCTCCAAGCAGAAGGCGCGCACCGTGGTCCAGAGCTGGCCGAGGGTGCTCAGGTCAGTCCCCACGCACTGGAAGGAGACGTCGTCGATCAGCGCGCGTGGCCGCACCAAAAGGCTCCGCGCTATCGACGCATTCAGCCCTTTCGTAAGCAAAACCCTGGCCAGCGTCGTAGCGTGGGAACACCCGGCAAGCACGTCCTGGAAGGCCGTGACCATGGCGGAGAGCGAGCCGTTGGCGCGGATCGCCCGCGGCTGCTGGCACGACCCCACCAGCATCCACGCCATGCGCATGGGGTAGCCATGGGCCCGGCAGCAATCCAACAGGACATCGTGCCGCACCAGCTCATAGAACATGAGGAGGTCAAAAAGCACCGTGACCGCGTGCTCCCCCAACAAGTCCGCGATCTCCGCCTCCATATTGGTCTCGAAGGCTGACGCCGAGGAAGACCTCCCCGCCCCTGAGCCCCAGAAGAATTCCGAGGGGTAACTCTGCCCCCATGCCTCCGAGACGCCGCGCCGCGCCTTCCCCCAGACGCGCACCAGCGTATTCATGAGGGCGATCAGGCGGTGCCCCCCGTCGCTCTTGGGGAGCCGTGCCGGGTGGTCAGGAGGTGGCCCTGCGGCCAGACCGTCAAGGCTTCGCAACGCATGAAGAGGAGGGCCACCGCATGCAGCGCCTCGTCCGACGCCTGCTCGAGGAGCCTCGGCGCAAGCGGAACCTGGCCCACGCCTGTTTTCCACGGGAAGGTGCCGACGGCATGGCGGATGCCCGCTGCTGTCAGCTCTGGGAGGGGGCCCCACTGCACGTCCGAGAGCGGGTCGAGCTGGCGGCCGTTGTGCGTGCTCCATATCTGCCCCCGCTGCTGCATGCAGTCGCCCGCGTACTTGTAGGGCTGACAACCCTCCAAACTCTGAACAACTTCCTGGAACTCTCGAGGTCTAAAAAACCGGCGTGCAAGCCCGGCGCCACCTGCCAATGCCTTCTCGACCCAGTGCCGCCAGGAGCGTGCCTGAGCAGCTGCGACCTTGGCCCGCAGCGCATCGGCCCTACTGGTGACGTATTCCACCTCTTCATTGAAATCGGGCTCGGCCATCCGCAACAGGCCAGCCTGGAACAGCTCCCGCGCACGCTGGTCCAGCAGGGGAAGCGCGGGCGAGTTCTTCTGGATCCTGCTGAAGAAGCCAATTAGATCGTACTGCGACTTGCCCATCTAGGCGCACAACTGCTCCTCAGACGGCCTGCCTGCGCCCCCCCGAGCCAGGGGGGGGGCCGGCCCAGCAGGGGCCGGCTTGGCCCACCTCGCAGCCGCCGCCCAAGCGTGCCAAGCCCCATCGCGCCTGTCGCCGATCTTCTCGTTGGTGCCCTGCGGCTGGAAGTGCCCCCAGCGCATTCCGATCGGTCCGCTGATGGGCGTGCCCGTGGTCTCGCCCAGGCGGCCCATCCTGCCCGGCAGCTCGATGTGGAGGCCCTCCAGCACGAAGTCCCACGCCTGGCCGAAGCCCGTCCTGTCCGTCGCGGCCTGGATCACCGCTTGCGCCCGTCCCCAGTCAAGCGGAAACCGCGCGCAGCCTGGCGGCGGCGGCCCCCGCAGTTTCCGCGGATCGGAAATTTGTCTGGCCCGCAGTGTCCCGAGCATCCCGTGAAAGCCGAGGCTGACAGGCACGCGCGGGCCCGTGCTGACTGCGTCATCGACCTCGGCCCTGGTGATGGGCTGCTGCGCGTTCGGGTCCGCCCTCGGAGCTTGCTCCGCCCGCAAGCCCATCGCCACGCTAACGAAGAAATATTGACAACACCAGGTCGGCCGCGTCGTGGCGGAGACCGGCCCCTGCGCGGCCCGAAACTCACGCAGCTCCGCCAAGACCGACGGCTCCAGGTTCCAGTCGCCCCCGATCACCCACTGCATCCCGATGGCGTTCAGGCGCGCCAGGTACCCCAACACCTCGCGCAGGATGGCGCGATTCTCGTCCGAGAGGCCATCCGCTCACCGGAGGTTCAGTGAGACCACCGCGTAGCCCTTGGCGAGCCCCGCGTGCGCATGGCCAGCCGCGGCTCGCCCAGGCACCAACGTGGGCTCCGCGAGAGGCGGCGCAGAGACCATCGCGTTGCTGGGAACCAGCACCGTCACCCCGCTGGAGTCCATGGTGCCTTGGCCTGGCAGCGCCGCCGCCCAAACTCCATGAAATCCTCGCTGGGCCGCTTGGTGTTGAGCGTGCCCTGGTCGGCCCTCGGCCGCGCGGTGCTCCTGCGCCGGCAAGCACTGGCACTGCGGCTCACCGTCCAAAAACTCCTTCAGGCCCTTGAGGCGCCCACCATTGCATGCCGTGATAGTGTAAGACTTCGCCAGGGCTGCAAACATCAACAAGCAAATAATAAGAATAACACCGCAATGCTTATGCACGAACGTCGGACCTGGCCTTCTTGGAGACAGAGGCCGTGAAGTTCTGGGTGGCCTCGTAGGTGCGTTTGGCCAGCGAGCGGAGCTGCTCCTCGTCCGCGTCAGCAGGGACAGACTGGGGGATGGACTCGAGGAGCTGTCGCAGCTGCTCCGCAGAGAGGTCCGCCCAAGCTGGCACGCCAGGCTGTTGCTCCGGCTGCGTACCGCCTGGAGGCTTCGCCCCCGCCTCAGGAGCAGCCTGCTCACGCAGCCGCTGCGCGCGGGACTCCGCCTCCTCTGCTGCATTCTGAACAGCCTCGTTGGCCTTGACCCCCGCGACCTGGAAGCTCTGGGTGATCTCGTCGCTGAGATCCACAGAAAGGCCCTTGGCCGAGATGTGCGTGCCGAGGCTCGCCATGACCGCAGTAAGACCAGGCACGAAGTCATCAGGCCCAGGAGCAGGCCCAGCAGGAGGCGCCGCATTGACCCCAGGGATGCGCGCCGTGAGCTCCGAGAGACTCTGCTGTGCGCTGGTGAGCTCGCCGTCCAACTTGGCCGCTCGCGCCTGCGCCTCGCCCAGGGCCTCCTGCGCCTTCTCGGCTGCTCGCTTGAGCTCCTCAACCTTCTTGGCATGCTTGGACTGCACGGTCTGGAGCCTCCGCACCTCGCGACTGGCACCCTCGACCCTCTTGTTTTGGGGCTTGGCCTCCACCGTACGCCTCTTGAGCTCCGCGAGCTCAGACTTGAACTTCGTGGCCATCTCCATGTACGAGGGCTCATCCTGGCCGCTGGCCTCCAAGCGCGGAATCTCGCGCTGCAGGAACCCCAGGCGCTTGCGATCCACTTTCGGAGGCTCCTCGTCCAAATCCATGGCCGCCTGGTCGGTGTCCGCGGGGGGGCGGCTGGTCGCATGCTGCAGCTGCTTCTTGAGCTTGGCGATCTCGTCCGCCTGCAGTTGGAGCTGCTTCGCCTCCGTTGTCCATGGCAGACCCTTTGGCGGCACCTTAGTTGACGGACATCCCTGCGGCACCCCTCCGCCGAAGGAGACGCCCTTGTGGAGCTTGCACCGCGTACAGCGGGTCGACGCTGCACCATTGATGAACTTGCTGCCATCGGCTCGGGTGCAAGACTTGCAGAACCAGGCGGACTTGATCTTCCCATTGGAGTCCCATGATCGGCCCACAGTGTCGGCCCAACTCTTCGTACCCATCGCTGCTCGCACACAGCAGTCGCCCACACTAGCGCGTGGAGTATCAAGTGAGGGAAAGAGCAGCGGGCAAGCCCGCGAAAACACTTGTGGACTGGCCGCGGACTAGCGGTATCCCTTTTCGCCTTGGGGCCGGAAGCCCCCAAAGCAAGCATATTGAGTCAAAATGGCTACGGAGAGGAGGAGGAGGAGGTGGAGGAGGAGGTGGAGGTGGAGGAGGAGGAGGAGGAGGAGGAGGAGGTGGAGGGGGAGGAGGAGGAGGAGGAGGAGGAGGAGGAGGAGGAGGAGGAGGAGGAGGAGGAGGAGGAGGAGGAGGAGGAGGAGGAGGAGGAGGAGAGAGAAGCCGCGCAGGCGGGCCGCCGCCTGCAGGCAGCTCCCCGCAGGAGGCCGCCGCGCCGGCGCCGGCGCCCCTCGGGCGGCGGCGGCGAGGGAGAAGGCCTGGCGCTGGGGGCAGGAGGAGAAGGAGGATGAGGAGGAGGAGGAGGTCGAAGAGGAGGAGGAGGTCGAGGAGGAGGAGGTCGAGGAGGAGGAGGAGGAGGAGGAGGGAGAGGAGGAGAGGGCCCAAATCATTACACGCACGTCGGAAGAAGTACCCTCGATTTGTTAATGAGCATGGGGGGGTACCCCTCCGACGGGGGCCAATCTCGCCTCGTCGTCGCGCCGCGACGGGGCTCGGAGCACTTTCGGCGCGCGGTGGCTGCCCGCGACGGGGGTCGATGTGGAGCTGTCGGCGGGGGTGACGCCCCCACCGACGCTTATAAAGAGCTTCAGAGTAGGCAAAAACATAAGAATAATGGACCGTCAAAATATAGTCAAAAAGCGTCGGAAAATCGGAGTTCCGGCGCACTCGAGTATTGCGTTTCCCCGACATTAAGACGAAGCCAAGGCGAGGATAATTTCGGGTGGGGATAAATCGAGAATCTATGTGATCCTGCGGTTCAGGAGGATGTCTCGGGCGCCGCGGCCTTCTCAGAGCGTTCCGAACGATTTGAGAGCGTCCTGGAACGCTCTGGAACGGATTTATCACCGAAGCAAGCCCCGTCTAGATCATCCTCGCTTTCGGTTGCGAGCAACGCATCCCGAAATTCGGTCGCGAAGGCCACTCGCGACCGGCCGCGAGCGAAGAGGGAAGGAGGTAATGATGGTGGCACCGATACGAGGGGGGGGGGGGAGGAGGTAATGATGGTGGCACCGATACGAGGGGGGGGGGCAGATCATCCGATACCAACTTTTTTCCCGTGGCGTTTCGCAGGGTCCTGTCGCGACCGAAATGCCGAGAATGAGCGTTCAAAACTGGCATCGAGCGCTCGAAAGCAGGTCGCGTTCTACCGAAATTGGTTTCGGCGCTGGCGAATGCGAGCGCGTCGTCGCAGCCGAATTTCGTTTCGGCATTAACGAATTCCGCTGTCGTCGTTACCAAATCTCGTGATCACCGTTGGAATTCGACTACTTCGGATGTCGGTGGTATTCGTGATTGCGCAGATCCTCGCGTTACTGCTATTTACGTTACGTACTGGTTCTAGGTGCCGAAATTCGATTCACCGCTACCACATGTCGCGCCACCGCAACCGATTTTCGCGTCGCATTCACGACGGAATGCCGTTTCCCCGCTACTGAATTTCACCGTCATCCAAAATTTGCACCTGCTGTCATTCGCCCGACACGACCGAAAAGTCCGGCATTCGGGCGGGACCGAAAATCGACGAGAGCCCAAATCGCTACCGACCTTAACCAGTGTCGCATGATCTGGGGGAAACAGAAACCTATAATCAGCGATACATCGCCGACAAATCGGCGATGAGATCCAGATAACGAGTCCGCACGCTCCAGGGGGGGGCTATCAGACCCCTCTCGGCGATCAACATGCGATTGCCCCCTGAGTCGACACCTGGCGTTGATTGGAAAGGAAGCGCGCGACGGGGCGCAAAGCCCTGCGGAAGGCCACGCTGCCGTAGGAATGTGGGAGGCGTGGGTCGCGAAACGCAGGACCCCCCAAAAGTAGCCTTGATTACGGCAGGTTCGTGTCGTGCCGACTTCGGCGTTGGTATTTGACGCCGCGGGGATCGTTCAACCTTGAACGATCGGCCGATCCGAAACGTCCAAATCGTTCCACATCGACCGATTCTGGGTCGCCCGCGGCGTTCAACGTTGAACGCCGCTGGAGGGGTCGCCGCCGGCCGACACGACACGGACCTACCGCAGGCGGGTCCTGGAAGCCCTGAACCCCAAACGGGGTCACTACTTCGGGATCGACTGCTGTTCCTGTTTTTTTCCTCTGAAGTGCTACCCGACACGACTTTCCCGGTGCAGTCTTCTTTTGCGGCTGCATCTTACGGCCGCGAAGTGAGCTGCGCGTGCGATAGTTAGGCGACCTAGGCATCGCGAGGGGTTGGAGGAGAGATCGCCTCCTGCATGGAATTGGCCATGGAATAGCCGAGCGGCTCGAGGACAGTGTGACTCAATGCGTTCCTCGTGCGGGGACCCAACCAGCACCCGCCTGCATCGGCACATCCAAAGTGCTATACTTAAGACGGAAAGGCCCGACAGGAGAGCGCGAGAGCCGGCGGGCGGGGCCGCGCCGCGGCGCGCCGCGCCCGCGCGCCCCCGCCTCCGCGGAGGCGGCGACGCGAGAGCGGCGCCCGATCCCCCTGTGGAGTCGGGGGGGGCCATTCTCTCCAGACGCAAAAACGCGAGGATGGACAGACCTCCCTTTAGTAAAACGTGACTTCGTGAAAACGACTTCGGGCCCAGACCTGGCGGGCGCAAGCCTGGAAAATAACGGCCGCGGCGCCCTCTCGAGAACCGAAAACGGCCGACGTGTCAGGGTGCAGCCGCAGGGCCGCGCGGGGAGCGCGCGGGCGCGACCAGTCGGGGCAGGGCGGGCAGAGGCGGCACCGCGGAGACCCATGGCGCACCGGCCATCCGACGGCCCCGCCCGCGTAACCCCCTCTTCCGCGCACGGCGGCTGCGCCCGCCAGTGAACTGAGGCGGGCGCGACATGGGGATGGACGAAAGAAATTGGGCAGCAGGGGCACCGAGGAGCATCTTCTGCTCTCTCCGACTGCCACTCTGGCTTCGCGTGCGTTTCGCGCTGGCGCTCGGCTACATGCTCGATTGTCAGCGTGGGTGGTCTTGGGCTCGCTCTGATTATCGGCGGAGTTTTGGCCGTCTTGGGCCTGGGTAAACCATGATGTTGCGGCTCTCGCATTGCGTTGCCTTCTTAGTGTTCTCCTGCACCTTGCCAAGCTTCTCGCGCACGAAAGCCAACTGCTCTATCTGCTTGGTTACCTCTAACCTTGGTCCGAGGCCGCGTCCAAGTATAATTTTCGCCGACTCCAAGCCTCCGCCCACTCAACACCAGTCAGCGCCTGCTTCAGCTCGACGTGGACATTGGCGGGCCATGTCCAACTCACTCGGCAAATCTACTTCCCATTCAAAATTCACTTTGAAACACCTCATTGCTTTCGCCAGTGCGTGCGTATTTGCTGTGGGGTCTTCGATCGCCGCAACTGACTCCGCGGCGTCTTCTGAGTTTCGTTCCTGAGCGGTCGCCTGCGTCGGCTTTTGTTCGTCGGTCGCGGCCGCCCCTGCAGTCTGGAGACCGAGACGTGATCATCCTCAAGGGGGCGTCTGGCTTCTTCCTCATCGGGTGGCCCCGGAAGTGCCCTCTCTGTCTGGCTGTGTCGCCCTGCTGCGTGCAATTCTGGAGCCCGTCCTCCAGCGAGATTCCCGGCCGCGCCCCTTCCTTCAACGCCATCGTGAAGTCGTCGCATCGGGGATTCGCGCTGGAGCAGCAAGTGGCGCATGTGGCTCTGGAGCTTCCCGTCGCGGCCCTTCTCTTCGGTGTCACTGTAGGCCGCGGCGCCCCCATCCCCGCTGGCCCCGCCCCTCGGCCCGGCGCTCTGCCTCCTTGATCTCCGCGATCGGCGCGAAAGTTGCAAGGGGGGATATGGCAGTGCCCCTCGGGGCTCGGGGGGCCCGGAGCCGCCGCCTCTCCTGCCCGGGCCGACGTCAACGGGCCCGCCCTGCACTTGCGAAAGCGGATATGTTTCACCAGGGCATCCATTCCGCTGGACAAAAACATGCACCAGAGACACTTCAAAGTCTTCAACTGACGCGATCACGTCACTGGCTATCTTCGGTCCCTCCTCGACCGTTCTGCTTCGAGCCGTCGTGATTCTGGCCCTGTGGACCTCGCGCAGCCACCTGGGACACTCTGGTGGGAATGGATATGGGATCGGAGAGGTCGCGCGCATCTCTGGCCATTTGCTGAGCCTCCGGAGCGGAGGTCTGCCAGGGCCTTCTGAGGTCGCGCTGGAGCATTCCAACATCGAGCTGCTTGCGTCGCTTGGGGCCCTCGAAGTTGAACCAGCCGAACACCGCAGCAATGGCGAGCTTCGGGGGGTCGCGCACGGGGTCCTCTAGGTTCCTCTGCTGGGAACGTTTCGCGGGGGCCTGGTTCGCTTGGGACATCACCTCCTGGGCGGAGTGCTCCTGGGTCTTGTCCTCTCGGTCCTTCTGCCCCTCCTCCGCCCTCCTCGCCGGGGCGGGGGGCGCTGGTCGAGCCGCGCCGCGCCGCCGTGCCAGTCTGCTCTCGAGCAAAGTCGATGCAACGGCATGTCGACGCGCGTGGCCCCGCACCTCCCCCTCGCTGATCGGGCGGGCGCGCGCGGGATCTAGAAACGCACCAGGGGCTTATCGCCTGCAAGTGCTCTAGCATATTCAAATCACGTTTGCCCAACATCGGGGCCTCTCACCAGGCATCAGCGTAGATCCAACAAGCGAATGCCGCAGCCTAACGCGAAGCCGAACACTGAACTGGCCCTAGAAGGCCCGACAAGCAAGGCGGGCGCGAGCAGCCAAGGGCCTTGCCCACCTGGGGCCACTGGGCTACCTCCTCCACCATCGTGCTGTCGTCCCTATGATTTGCGCCAAGATGCGCTGTTTGCCGCGTTCACAGAGTGTCCCGTTCGCGTTCGCTTCCGTCGTTTGGCTTCTGTTCGTAGCTTTCTGGCCTGTGCGTTCGTTGCCAGTCGCGACGATCATCGCCTCCGTTCTCGAACTGTTGGCTATCCTTTTGCCCCTGGCGATTTCTTCTTGCACAAACGCCAGAAATCCCCGGGCGACAACGCGCCCCCAACTATCGCGAGGGCGATCAGGCGAGCGGCGAATTCGATAGACGGCACGCGCCCTGGCACTTCACGTTGGTGGCGCATCTTTCTCTATCTGGAGATCGAATGTCACGAAGACCTCCGGGGGCTCCAGCTGCGCGCGGCTATGCTCCAGCCCCCAAGTGAAGACGTCGTAGACGGCCACGAACATGAAGAGGCCCCCCCGCGCTGAACCGCGCGGGCCCCCCCGGGGATCAGCGGCTTCTTGATCGGGCGATTGGCGCGGATGTCTCGAGCGACGCAGCGCGCGCCGTCGCGGAAGTCCTCGGCCGCCAGGCACGCGGTCCTTCCATGATCTCTCGATCGCCTCCAAGTCTACGAGGGTTGCCACCGGCATGCGGGGTGCGGCCATGGAGCCAAACTTCGGCGCGCCGCCGCGCGTCTCGTCTCCCTCGGCCACCTCCGCCGCCGCCGCCGTGGCATCCATAGTCAAACGCCTAGCGCATGCGCCGCGTTGGGAGTGGGGGAGCCGGGGCGCCAACTGTCGCAGCGCAGACGCCACCGCGGCGTTCATGCGCGCCTTGCCTGCGCGGTTGATGCGGTTGATCGTCAGATAAAAACCGTTCGCGTTCTTCCCGTCTACTTCGGTTTTCCGTAGTGGCGCCATGTAGCAGCCCTGGGACCTTCGGCCCGAGTGGCCTACTGCGCGGCGCGCCTGGAACGCTGCGCGGAGGGCCAGGGGGGGTCTCGCCCACGCATGACATCCGCGCTGCAGTCGTCGAGCCGTCGAAGCTCGCGCCGGGGCCGCGGCCGTGCGACGGCGATCGCATCTCGCGTGCCAACGCGTGCATCGAGCCCCCTGGCAAAGCGCGGTCAACCGTAAACACAGACCACAACAAAGCGTTTCGAATGCTCCCTGGCAGAAACGCGGCGACTTCGCCAGTTCCCCATTCGCCATCTTGACCTGGGGCGCGGTTGAAGTTGGGCGTCTTGAACATCGCCATCTCGCGGCCTCCCGCCGCGCGCGCCGGGGGTCGTCTCGAGGCAGGAGCCCGTGGGGGGCATTGTGGCCGGACATCGCTGATGCTGCTGCATGCACGGGCCCTGACCTCCATCTCCTCATCTGCGGCGGGGTAAAAACGACCGCGATGACTGGGGCCGCTGGCTCTGGCGCTGATCTGCGCGCAACTCCGCGTAGTCGACGCAGTTTCACGAAAGCGCCCGATGCCCCCGCCTCGCGCGCCACCGCCGCCAGCCCTTGTCGGCCCTTGAACTATCTCTGGGTTAAGTACATGGAATTTGGCTGCCGCCCCCTGTCGGCGCGTCCCCGAGCATGTCCGACTGCGCGGGGCACTTGGCCCCATCTCCGCGCGCGCCCCCCCGACCTCTCCCAAAGTATAGTTTCGCCATTCGGTCCACCAGCTGGGCCTGCATGTCGACGGCGCGGGAGGGGCGTCCGCGAATGGGTCTCGGCGGTGCTTCGGGTCCTGGGCGAAGGCTTCGCGATTCCATCCGGCTTGCTTCGGGCCCAGGGCCCTCTCGCCGTGGGCCTTGCAAGTAGATTCGCTCGCGCTGGTCCGTGGTCAAGATGTCCTCCAAGGCGAACGGGCGCGTTCTTGAGCGGCCCCGCGCTGGCGCCACATCAATCAGCCAACCTCGCGCGCGCATAGTGGATGGTGGGCGAGCTTCTTCAATCCGTGCGTTTGCACGTGTCGTTTGTTCCAGAAGTTGGTTTCTTCCATGAGCTGGCGCGCCTGGGGCATCTCGGACAGCTTGGCAACTTGGCCTCGCTCGCAGTTGCAACTGCGCGCGCAGCCGCGTCTCTGACCTGCGACGCCAACGTCGGGCGGGTTGGGGTTGGGGCGCGTGGTCGCACCGGCGCCCGATGCGAACGCGGAAGCGGCGCGTCGGGGGGATCTGCCCAACGACGGCTCGGCGCGCGCCTCGAAATTTGCACCGGAGATCTGCGCGCGCAGCTGCTTTCTGGTGGCGACGTTCCCCGACGCGGGCGCGACTGTTTTCGTCAAAAGGGGAATAGCTGTCGGGAACGATTGCGTCGCGCTCCCTCGGCGCGCTGTCATTGCTTTGACGCCGTTCAACGCGCCGCCCGCCCGCGCGCGTGACACTCTCAGCCGATATAATGAAAAGGCATGAACGCTCTGCTCTGGGTGACGAGGCATCCGTCTCTGCTTGTCTTCGTCGTTCTCGGGGCGGGAATGGCGCGGGGCTCTTCCGTCGTCCGCGGGGCGCCCAAATGCGGCGATGCAGACGGCCCCGGGTATCGTGTGCACACGGCCGGTGCATCGACCTGATATCAACGATGCATCGTCGATCTATGGGCTATTCGAAGTCGATGCATCCCCCCCTGCGCCTATCCCCACCCATCGTTGCCCCCCAGGCAGAGGGGGGCCCGAGACCCTGTCGTCGCATCTTTCCCAGCACGGGCGACTCTGTATTACCGCGCGCCCCGAAGCCGTCTCGGATCGATGTGGCTCGACAAACGCTGCAGAACGATGGGGTCTGGGGCTCCGGTCGCCATTTTTCGCGCTGCTGTATTTTTGCGCAGCGTTGGGGTTAGGTCGGGCGTGTCCCCCTACAGGCGGATTCTGGACGAAAAATAAAACAGAACCCCAAATAGTCAAAATCAAAGAATCGTCCCCAGACTATTTTCTACCATTCCTGAATATACCCCCTGTAGAGGGACAGGCCCGACTTAACGCCGGGGGGGGCCCGCGGAGGAACAGATCCAAATACACCCGCTCGTCCCGGATAGCCCTCAGCGCCCCGGCTGGCCTCTCGCCTCTCCTCGACAATATGGTCAGAACGCACTCCGGGAGAGGTCCGTGGAGCGGCGGTATCGGTGCATTTGTGCGTCACCAGCGGGGGAGGGAGGAAGGGGGAGAAGGGAGGAAGGGGGGCTGGGGGAGGTGGGGAGCTCTGGGGAGGGGAGGGGGGGGGAGGACACCGGGGGATGGGGGATGAGGGAGGGGAAGGAGGGAGGGAGGGGAGAGAGAGAGAGGGAGGAGGGGGACGGGGGAGGGAGGGGAGAGGGAGGGGGAGAGGGGGGATGGGGGGAGGGGGATGAGGTTTCTGGTTCTGGTGGTGGCAGTGCGCAAGGCTTGGGCGCAAGGGGGGGAGTAAGATGAGGGAGGAGGGAACGAGGGAAGGAGGTGAGGAAGGACGGACGGGGGGAAAGGAGGGAGGAGGGACGGATGGAGGGCTGGGAGAACGTGAAGGATGGCTGGGAGGGACAGGGAGGGGAAGAGCTTGGGCAACGTGCGTGTTATGTGTATATACATATATTAGTAGGTTTTAACGGAAGAGGTTCGCTCTCGTCCCGCAGACCAAAAAGTGTATATGCATACATATATATATATAGGTATTGCTTGATGTTCGTACCAGGCCCCTGCAATCAAACTTCAGAACAAATCCCAAAGCACACAACTTGTTCAGAATATCGTGGCATGTCAAGTGGCGATGAAGGCCTCATCCGTGCATCCCAAGTCCAGTTATCTGGCGCAGGCGAGGGGGGACGGAGGGAGGGCGGAGCGCTCTCCGACACAGTGCTCGAGGAATTGCGAGTGGGCGCCAAGTTAGGTGCGAACGCGGATGCTCTAAATGCAGTCCTGTGCTCGGGCGTGACTTGCTTCCGCCGCGCAGAACTTCCGAACCACTGCAACCACACACGCGCGTGTGGACATACGCTGCCTGACAGACGCCTGACGTCAGGCGCTCGTCAGATGTTGTTTAGGCTGCAGAGCATGCGGCTGCGGGCAGGCGATACGCAGCAGCGCTCAGGTATACGCGTGGGCATCGCGCCATGCTCAGAACGTCGAGCCAGGAGCGAGGAACGAGATTCGAGCATCGATGGCTTGGCGCGAAAGTGTCACGCCCTGCCGTCGAGCACGTCGCCTTCAGATTGTGCTCGTGTGATGTGCCAGTTTCAGATTTCGGCGATCAATGAAGGGGAACTGGGACACACAAATAAATGCACACAACTAAAAAGATCTCCCGTATTTTCCCATATTTTCTGGGTTTTTGTCTTCCCCCCACTTCCCATATTTTCCCATATTTTCTGGGACTCGCCGATTAATTGTGTCTGTGTGTCTTTTCCCCTCCTGAATCAAGTTCTCCACCAAGCGGGGGCCTGCGCCGCTGTTGGGCGCCTCGGTGCGTCAGGTCCTGGTGGCCCGTGTGGAGGTCGGGGGTTGGTGAGCAAAGGCGCAACCGACACGATTTTGGCAACCGCGGCTCTTGTGCCTTCACTGGGTGCCGGTAAGAACAGCGCGCACTGGCAGCTGTATTCGCAAACAACGAACTCGCCATCGCTCGGACGTCCATTCCCTGTGTTTTTGTTCGATTTCGTGTGTGTTTTTTTTCGCCAAATGATCAAGGATGCTCCTCGATGGCCCTCGCCGAAAGAAAA